GATTATAATTACTTGACACGATTCCTTTTTTCCGTTGTTTCAGAAGCACTAGGCTTATACAAGTCCTTTCCTGCTTTTACAGATCAGACTAGAAAGAGTGGAAGAATCCACTCTTGAATCTGCTAAATAATTAAAAAAACAAAAACAAAGCTACATAATTCTCACCATCTTGTATCATCAGCAGGATTGAAAACAGTGGATGGAAGAGACAGGAAGTTGACAGGAAGTACCCCTGTCAATACTTCTCTACCTCCTTTGCATGTGTTTACATATTTGAAACTGGGAAGAGTGGTCCAGTTGTAAAATCCATGGTGGTGGGGGAATGCTTCCCAAAGGAGATACATTCTTTTTCCTTACTAGTCCCTCAAGTTGAAGTCTAGACTCCAAGATATAGAAAAGAAGTGTTATAAATCCCGAGATTATTGGGGCCAACAACTATGGAGTCACTCTCTTCCTGAGGATAGCAGTCTCTTTAAAAAAATATCTCTGTGTTGAACAATGTCCAAGTTAAAACTTTGTACAGGTCCTTGAAAAAGACTTAACCTGAAAAATGGCAAAAGTATTTGTTTACTTAGAGCAGGGGTCTACAACCTTAAACACTCAAAGAGCCATTTGGACCTGTTTCCCACAGAAAAGAAAACACCAGGAGCCAACTCGAGGTTATTCACTTCCACCCAGGCATCTCTTGCTCTGGAATATGGAGTCACTCTCCATCCCCCACTATCACCCTTACCTTCTCAGGCCAGGCGAGGAGTGACGGGGAAGGGAGGGACCAGTGGTGGGATCAGCCAACAGGGAGCCGCAGCAGAGGGCCAAAAGAGCCACATGTGGCTCCAGAGCCGCAGGTTGCAGACTCCTGACTTAGAGGAATGAGCCTTAATGAAATTTGGTTACTAGGCTGTAGGTGTCAAAACAATGCAGTCCCTGAGCTATCTATATAGTTAAGATGCCTTTTTGAGACAGTGTTTCTTTTCAGTGAAGTCTTTTCATTGTATATAACATAACATAACATTACATAACAATGATAAAGTTCAGTACCAAAGTACTGTTACCAGAAAGCAAATTTCTTAGTATTAACTTATGCCATTCAGGTACAAGCAAGAATACTTTGCATTTATACCAGTTCTTGTCATACAGTGAGCAAAGAGCCTGTAAAGCTTCAAGGCAGTTTTCAATAGTAAACAGAAATAGAATTGATTTGAATATAGGCTAAAGCAGTGGTTCCCAAAGTGGCCGGTACTGCCCCCTGGGGGGGGGATACCTTAGGGGGGTGCTAAGAGGCAAGGGGGCCGGAAGGGGGCGCTAAGAGGCAGTAGCGGGGCATATGAGGCGCTAGCCCCGCAGGGTCACCCCATTGATTGTTGCATCACTCCAGAGCCGGTGCCTTGAATGCGGCAGCTCTGATGCACCGCATCATGCCCAATATCCAGTATCCCGCTCAGCCAAGCCCGCCCCTCTTTGTAGTTGCCATGCCTGACAGCAAGTTGACTGCGCCTCCCACCAGGGATCAGCCTCCCAAGCTGCCCCCCCTCCCGGGTCACTCACGTCGTAGAGGGCAGTGCTGTTCCCTCCCTCCTGGAGCAGGTCAGGGTTGAGGAAGCCCAGGGCAGGCAGCTTTGCTCTACTTTTGCAACATGCCACTGCTGCGTTCAACACACCAGCGCAGGCTCACCCCATTGAGCCCCTTGCACTGCTCCGTTGCAACAGTCAATGGGGTGAGCCTGCGGTGCCTATCTATCTAATCTATCTATCTATCTATCTATCTATCATCTATCTACTTATCTACCTACCTATCTACCTACCTATCTACCAATTTAGATCTATCTACCTACCTACTTATCTACCTATCTACCTATCCATCCATCCAAAAGGTCTGTCTGTCTTCCTGCCCGCTTGCCTGCCTGCCTTCCTGCCTACCTACCTACTTGCCTTTCTGTCTACCTCCCTACCTCCCTACCAATATAGATCTATCTACCTACCTACCTATTCACCTACCCATCACCTATCTATCTACCAATATAGATCTATCTATCTATCTATCTATCTATCTATCTATCTATCTATCTATCTATCTATCTATCTATCATCTATCTATCTATCTATCTATCTATCTATCTATCTATCTATCTATC